TTAATATTTGATGACAACAAAAATATTGTTATACCTTTACTCTGCTTTTCACTTTTTACGTTGCTGATATTATTGTCATTCTCTCATTATTTTTGTTGTTGCTTATTTTTGTGATAACATTTTGGTAGGAAACTTTATTTTTGTTGTGGTTGTTGTTTTGTTTGCAAAAATACAAAGCAAACGGAAAAATGTGAAATAGAAAAAAAAATTGGAACACAAAAAAAAAAAACAGATAATGTTTGACAGCATGATTTCGTTTTGTAGATAAAATGTCCAAGATAACAAGAAAACCGTTTTTCGTATTTTTAATTTTTTGATATTTGTATTTTTGTGAGTGCGCTGTTAACGTAATTTTGTTGTTTTTAACCCACATACACGGGACTTTTTATAGGTGAGTGAGGGTTGAGCATTTAGAAGGAGATAAAAACTGATGATTTTTCTATTTAATATGGTTTCGATTTTAGGTTGGGTGAAGTGGGAGGTAAGAGGCTGGGGTATATTTTCAAGAAGAAGGAGGAATGAAAGTATTATTTTAATTTTAAAAATTTATATGGTTAAATATTAAAGTACTACAGTTAAGTCTGTTCACATAAGTTTAAAATTTTCTTTGATTTGTTTTTATATTCAACGAAATCTTAAAATATATTAATTTCTGCCAATTACTTTGATATATACATATATTTAATCTTAATTAAAAAATTAAATAGGTTTAAAATTAAGAACACTGGTGCGTATGATTATTATTATAATATGTACAAAAAATAAATATTACTTATACGTCATCGAAGAACTGTTTCATTTATGATTAAAACAAGATTTACATAACATTTGGGAATCAAATACATACAGTTCTAGTTCAGTTCTAGTTCAGTTCTAGTTCAGTTCTAGTTCAGTTCTAGTTCAGTTCTAGTTCAGTTCTAGTTCAGTTCTAGTTCAGTTCTAGTTCGGTTCTAGTTCAGTTCTAGTTCAGTTCTAGTTCAGTTCTAGTTCAGTTCTAGTTCAGTTCTAGTTCAGTTCTAGTTCAGTTCTAGTTCAGTTCTAGTTCAGTTCTAGTTCAGTTCTAGTCAGTTCTAGTTCAGTTCTAGTTCAGTTCTAGTTCAGTTCTAGTTCAGTTCTAGTTCAGTTCTAGTTCAGTTCTAGTTCAGTTCTAGTTCAGTTCTAGTTCAGTTCTAGTTCAGTTCTAGTTCAGTTCTAGTTCAGTTCTAGTTCAGTTCTAGTTCAGTTCTAGTTCAGTTCTAGTTCAGTTCTAGTTCAGTTCTAGTTCAGTTCTAGTTCAGTTCTAGTTCAGTTCTAGTTCAGTTCTAGTTCAGTTCTAGTTCAGTTCTAGTTCAGTTCTAGTTCAGTTCTAGTTCAGTTCTAGTTCAGTTCTAGTTCAGTTCTAGTTCAGTTCTAGTTCAGTTCTAGTTCAGTTCTAGTTCAGTTCTAGTTCAGTTCTAGTTCAGTTCAGTGCAGTTCTAGTTCGGTTCTAGTTCAGTTCTAGTTCAGTTCTAGTACAGTTCTAGTTCAGTTCTAGTTCATTTCTAGTTCTAGTTCAGTTCTAGTTCAGTTCTAGTTCAGTTCTAGTCAGTTCTAGTTCAGTTCTAGTTCAGTTCTAGTTCAGTTCTAGTTCAGTTCTAGTCAGTTCTAGTTCAGTTCTAGTTCAGTTCTAGTTCAGTTCTAGTTCAGTTCTAGTTCAGTTCTAGTTCATTTCTAGTTCAGTTCTAGTTCAGTTCTAGTTCAGTTCTAGTTCAGTTCTAGTTCAGTTCTAGTTCAGTTCTAGTTCAGTTCTAGTTCAGTTCTAGTCAGTTCTAGTTCAGTTCTAGTTCAGTTCTAGTTCAGTTCTAGTTCAGTTCTAGTTCAGTTCTAGTTCAGTTCTAGTTCAGTTCTAGTTCAGTTCTAGTTCAGTTCTAGTTCAGTTCTAGTTCAGTTCTAGTTCAGTTCTAGTTCAGTTCTAGTTCAGTTCTAGTTCAGTTCTAGTTCAGTTCTAGTTCAGTTCTAGTTCAGTTCTAGTTCAGTTCTAGTTCAGTTCTAGTTCAGTTCTAGTTCAGTTCTAGTTCAGTTCTAGTTCAGTTCTAGTTCAGTTTCTAGTTCAGTTCTAGATTCAGTTCTAGTTCAGTTCTAGTCAGTCTAGTTCAGTTCTAGTTCAGTTCTAGTTCAGTCTAGTTCAGTTCTAGTTCAGTTCTAGTTCAGTTCTAGTTCAGTTCTAGTTCAGTTCTAGTTCAGTTCTAGTTCAGTTCTAGTTCAGTTCTAGTTCAGTTCTAGTTCAGTTCAGTTCAGTCTAGTTCAGTTCTAGTTCAGTTCTAGTCAGTTCTAGTTCAGTTCTAGTTCAGTTCTAGTTCAGTTCTAGTTCAGTTTCTAGTTCAGTTCTAGTTCAGTTCTAGTTCAGTTCTAGTTCAGTTCTAGTTCAGTTCTAGTTCAGTTCTAGTTCAGTTCTAGTTCAGTTCTAGTCAGTTCTAGTTCAGTTCTAGTTCAGTTTAGTTCAGTTCTAGTTCAGTTCTAGTCAGTTCTAGTTCTAGTTCAGTTCTAGTTCAGTTCTAGTTCAGTTCTAGTTCAGTTCTAGTTCAGTTCTAGTTCAGTTCTAGTTCAGTTTCTAGTTCAGTTCTAGTCAGTTCTAGTTCAGTTCTGTTCAGTTCTAGTTCAGTTCTAGTTCAGTTCTAGTTCAGTTCTAGTTCAGTTCTAGTTCAGTTTAGTCAGTTCTAGTCAGTTCTAGTTCAGTTCTAGTTCAGTTCTAGTTCAGTTCTAGTTCAGTTCTAGTTCAGTTCTAGTTCAGTTCTAGTTCAGTTCTAGTTCAGTTCTAGTTCAGTTCTAGTTCAGTTCTAGTTCAGTTCTAGTTCAGTTCTAGTTCAGTTCTAGTTCAGTTCTAGTACAGTTCTAGTTCAGTTCTAGTTCATTTCTCGTTAAGTTCTAGTTCAGTTCCATTCCATAAACAAGTCTTGCACACATTATCACGAAGATATTATGCCCTCTTAAAAATTTAAATATACATTTAAGTTTAAGAATGCACTCCTTTCCGAACTGTTCACTTTACTATGTATTTAGCTTTAAACTGCTGCACTTTGCAACAAACCATAACAACCAGCAGATAAATTATTTTAGTTCAGCTACACCTATTCACTGCACCCTTAGGATGTAAAAACAACAAATTTTATTCCCTAAAACTCAAAGCTCGACGCTCTTTCTTTGATAACTTCTATTACAATAAAAAAAACACTCACCGCCACTAACAACAACAGTCTCAAAGACTCACACACTCACCATAAACCAGAAGTTAAAACTAAAAGGTGTTGAAGCAAGAAACGAATTCATTAAGCGAAGGAAAAAAACAAAATAGAGTAGGTACAACAATAACCATAAGAAAACAACAATAATTAACATAACAGAGAACAAATAGAAAAAAATAGCTAGGAAATAATGGGTAACGGGTTACAGATGTCAACAAATATAACAGAAATCAACACATAAATAAACTCAAGGAGTTAATGTAAAGAAAATTGAAAAACATAAATACAAGGGGAGAAAATTTGAGAGCAAAAACGAAGTCAGTTATTTAGGGGAACTGAAATGTTTTGATTATTAAAGGCAATAGAGTAGATTAACGGTTAATGACAAAAAGGAGTTTATTTAAGATTAGATCTCATGTTAGGTAAAAACTATTGCTATACGATCAGGCCCGACTAGTCTATTGAGGCTATGAACTGGCCTAAGAACCAGTCTATGAACTAGTCTATTGGCTAGTATAAGGATTAATCCATTGATAAGTCCATATACCAATCTAAGCTATTCTTAGAATAGGCAATAGAATAGTATTCTATCATCTAGTCTATGGACTAATCTATGGACTTGTTTATGAACCAGTCGTTTGACTAGTCTATAGCGTAGTCTATTGACTTTATTATTGGCTAGTCTTTAGAATATTATTTTGACTTTTTATTTGTAGAATAGTATATAAAATTATCTATAGAATAGTTTACAAAATTAGTATATAGAGCAGTCTAATATCTAGTCTGTTGGCTAGTCTATTAAATGTCATCTGGATTGATCAATTAACTAGTATTTGTCCTAGTTTATTGACTTGTTCATTGTCTAATCTATAGACTAGTCTGTTGACCTGCCTATTGTTGGTCATGGGCCAATCTATTATCTAGTCTATTGAGTAGTCTATGGACTAATTAATGAACTGGTCTATTAACTAGTCTATGCCCTAGTTTGTGTCCTAGTAGATGGCCTATACTATAGCCTAGCATTTGGCCTAGTCTATCTCCTGGCCTATTGATTAATTTGTGATCTAGCCTGACAAGTCAACTGAATAATGACTAGTTTTTTGTCTGGTTTATAAACTAATCTATGACTTAGTCTTGTAGACTAGTATATGGACTACTCTATACTATAATATGTGAAATAGTCTATAAATCAATCTATGCATTAATGTAGGCCATAGTCTATTGACTGAACTATGTCCTAGTCTATTGAATAATCTTTAGCATATTCTATGAACCAGTCTATGGAATAGACTATGAAATAGGCTATGAACTAGTCTCTTGTCTAGTCTATACTCTATGATTATGACTATTTTTCAGACTAGTCTATGTGCTGCTCAATGGAGAAGTTCATTGGTTAATCTTTTGGCCAGTCTATTGTCAAGTCTATTTTCTAGACCATTGACTACTCTATTGATTTGGATATCGTCTAGTCTACAAACTGGTTAGCTGACTAATTAATGGAGTATTCTATTAAGTAGAAAACTAACCATTCTATGAAGTAGTAGAATGACAAAAGCTTTTGAAATAGTACGATAAATTTAAAAAATAAAACCGCTATATTTACAAACTGACAGCATACATTAACAAAAACGAAATAAACGAATGACAAGCAAAAAAGGAAAACGAAATAAAGAAAAAACGGGAACATATTGTCATTCGCAAAATTCACCACTAACTAACATGGTGAATTCCTTTAGACATTTAGGAGCTGCTGATACTTAAAGTTAACAGCTCCTCTACAGATGAACTAGTAGTCGTTGTCGTGTAGTGGTGTCGCCGTCGTCGTCGTCGTAGAGCGCGTAACAAAAAACAAATTAAGACAAACTTGAAGAAAAAATACATATATATATATATATACACAAACATATATATATACTGAGTTAAAAAAAAAGAAACTTTCAGTATATAACAAAAAATATAAAAAAAGAAAGAAACTTCAAGGAACAAAGTGTACAAAAAAAAATTATATATATAAATGTAGATAAACTTTTTTTCATACATAAACTATTTAAATAGAAAAAATTTTTAGGAAAACAAAGAAAATTTATTTAAAAGAAATCTTTAAGTGAAAAGCAAAATGATTAAATATGCAAAAAGTGATTTTTTCACACTAGCTGAAAAGAAAAACGGAAAATTTCTGTATACATTAAGAAGAAAAATGTAAAAAAGAGGAAAAATTTAAAGGTGTTTTGGAATAAAAGCTAATTTAAAACTAAAAGTGAATTTAAAAATTTAATATTCAATATTATTTTAAGGGAAAATGTGAAAATTTTTTTAAAATCTTTAGCATATGAAAAGAAAATCAAGCAGAAAAAAAATTCTCCATGTAAATAGCTGTGTATAACCATGAACAAGAAGAAGAATAAGCAATTCGAGGAATATATGTAACCAGGCAGTAAAAGGGCAATTAATCAGAGGAAAACGCAAAAAAAAGTGTGTTTTTTTCATATACAGAAGAGCTCTTGGAAATTCACCATACAAAACAAATAGAATAGAACGAACAAAAATATAGAAAAAGGAAAAAAGAAAAAAACAAATATTAACAACACATTCTAAATGAAACGAAAGAAATTGAAAAATAACAACAACAGCAACAACAATAGTGCAAAGAAAGTGTGAAGAGATTTTGATTAAAACAACAACAACAACAACAATAAAACAACATATACCAAATAATCATAATAACAAGTTTAATAAGCAAAAGAGTTCAACTAACTGTTAAAAGTTACTCTTGAAATAAATTCACCACTACCACTACCGACCCGTTAACTTTTACCACTTACACTCTCTAACACAGATATACTAATAACAAAATAAACAAATAATTAAAAGGAAAAGAAAATAATTATAGAATTCTTTTCAGAATTGTTTAATAAACATTAAACATTTATTTTGGAGTTATAATTAACTAAAGTTTAAGCTTTAAAACTTAACTCTCCCTCTCTTTACCACAAGCTCTCTGCTATATTCTCAACTTAGATGTTATAAAAACGGGATAACAGGAATGTATAAGTTTCGCTCTCTCTCTCTCTGATTTGACAAGAACATAAGAAAATCCTTAAATTTCACCTGTTTTCTTTTCTTGGAAAAAAGGGAAATTTTGTAAAAAAAAGTGGCCAAAAATTTCTTCACAACAGAAAACCTTTTTTTTGTAAAATAAAGCAAATATCTAAAGTAATTGTAAAAAGTGTAAATAATTTATTTAATTAAATAATTATTATTAAATATTTAAATGAAAAAAGAAAATTAAAACGTGCCTCTATAAATTAAACCTAGAAAAAATTTAAACAAAAGAAAAAAATCCCCCATAAATTATTAAAAAAATAACCCCCCAAAAAACAAAAAAAAAAAAAAAAGAAAATCATTAAATTCCTCTACTCTCTGTTAAACATTAAACGCTCTCTATCTCTCTTTATAATCGAATGCTCTGGTTCTATTCCTAAATTAACCATAACTCCTTATTAACAAGAGGTGAATTTCCTGTTCGTCTATACTAAATGTTTAAATTTTTGTTCATATTCGTGGTTCATATCATTTGTTATTAATGTTCAAAAGTCATCATTCAAGTTAAAAGCTTTAAAAAAAAACAACAAAAGCTAATAATACTTAAACCTTTTTAACATCAAATACTACAAATAATAAAAATAATAATAAAAAAAATAATAACAAAAAAACTGCTCCTCATAAATTTCTGCTCTCTTGCCGCCCTCCCTCTCAACCTCCAATACCACAACTGCTTGAGTAAATTGCTATACCACAAACAAAAACAACAACAACAACATCTTTATCTATAACAAAAAAGAGCAACAAAATTACTAATAACCATTGTATGCAACATGTTTCATTAATTTATAACTAATTAACAAACAAACATACTTACTTACATACATATAAATATATAAACAAATAAAAATTAAACATAATCCAAAAACAAGTAAATATTATTAAATATTTTCCCCAAAATAAATTTATATAAATAAGTACATAAATCACTAACCTTACACAATTAAACAAAAAACCAACAACTACTACTACTACTACAACAACCAAATTAAGGATTATTTGACAAAAAAAAAAATAACAACGAATATTTACACAACGCTGTTTACAAAACATATAAACAACACAAGAAATATAATAATTGTAAGTAAAATGTAAATATTTCTATTTCTTGTGTAATATCTTAAGAAAGAGTTAAAAATCAATCATACGTCTAGATGAAATTTTGAACATTTGAAATAGTTTTCTGTATAAAGTATGCGCCATGGAGCACGGCATCTGACTGACAATCTGGCAATTTCCTAATTCGACTAGACTAGACTATAGACTAGACTAGACTATAGACTAGACTATAGACTAGACTATAGACTAGACTATAGACTAGACTATAGACTAGACTATAGACTAGACTATAGACTAGACTATAGACTAGACTATAGACTAGACTATAGACTAGACTATAGACTAGACTATAGACTAGACTATAGACTAGACTATAGACTAGACTATAGACTAGACTATAGACTAGACTATAGACTAGACTATAGACTAGACTATAGACTAGATAGACTAGACTATGACTAGACTATAGACTAGACTATAGACTAGACTATAGACTAGACTATAGACTAGATAGACTAGACTATAGACTAGACTATAGACTAGACTATAGACTAGACTATAGACTAGACTATAGACTAGACTATAGACTAGACTATAGACTAGACTATAGACTAGACTATAGACTAGACTATAGACTAGACTATAGACTAGACTATAGACTAGACTATAGACTAGACTATAGACTAGACTATAGACTAGACTATAGACTAGACTATAGACTAGACTATAGACTAGACTATAGACTAGACTATAGACTAGACTATAGACTAGACTATAGACTAGACTATAGACTAGACTATAGACTAGACTATAGACTAGACTATAGACTAGACTATAGACTAGACTATAGACTAGACTATAGACTAGACTATAGACTAGACTATAGACTAGACTATAGACTAGACTATAGACTAGACTATAGACTAGACTATAGACTAGACTATAGACTAGACTATAGACTAGACTATAGACTAGACTATAGACTATAGACTAGACTATAGACTAGACTAGACTATAGACTATAGACTAAGACTAGACTATAGACTAGACTATAGACTAGACTATAGACTAGACTATAGACTAGACTATAGACTAGACTATAGACTAGACTATAGACTAGACTATAGACTAGACTATAGACTAGACTATAGACTAGACTATAGACTAGACTATAGACTAGACTATAGACTAGACTATAGACTAGACTATAGACTAGACTATAGACTAGACTATACTAGACTATAGACTAGACTATAGACTAGACTATAGACTAGACTATAGACTAGACTATAGACTAGACTATAGATAGACTATAGACTAGACTATAGACTAGACTATAGACTAGATATGACTAGACTATAGACTAGACTATAGACTAGACTATAGACTAGACTATAGACTAGACTATAGACTAGACTATAGACTAGACTATAGACTAGACTATAGACTAGACTATAGACTAGACTATAGACTAGACTATAGACTAGACTATAGACTAGACTATAGACTAGACTATAGACTAGACTATAGACTAGACTATAGACTAGACTATAGAGAATAGACTAGACTATAGACTAGACTATAGACTAGACTATAGACTAGACTATAGACTAGACTATAGACTAGACTATAGACTAGACTATAGACTAGACTATAGACTAGACTATAGACTAGACTATAGACTAGACTATAGACTAGACTATAGACTAGACTATAGACTAGACTATAGACTAGACTATAGACTAGACTATAGACTAGACTATAGACTAGACTATAGACTAGACTATAGACTAGACTATAGACTAGACTATAGACTAGACTATAGACTAGACTATAGACTAGACTATAGACTAGACTATAGACTAGACTATAGACTAGACTATAGACTAGACTATAGACTAGACTATAGACTAGACTATAGACTAGACTATAGACTAGACTATAGACTAGACTATAGACTAGACTATAGACTAGACTATAGACTAGACTATAGACTAGACTATAGACTAGACTATAGACTAGACTATAGACTAGACTATAGACTAGACTATAGACTAGACTATAGACTAGACTATAGACTAGACTATAGACTAGACTATAGACTAGACTATAGACTAGACTATAGACTAGACTATAGACTAGACTATAGACTAGACTATAGACTAGACTATAGACTAGACTATAGACTAGACTATAGACTAGACTATAGACTAGACTATAGACTAGACTATAGACTAGACTATAGACTAGACTATAGACTAGACTATAGACTAGACTATAGACTAGACTATAGACTAGACTATAGACTAGACTATAGACTAGACTATAGACTAGACTATAGACTAGACTATAGACTAGACTATAGACTAGACTATAGACTAGACTATAGACTAGACTATAGACTAGACTATAGACTAGACTATAGACTAGACTATAGACTAGACATAGACTAGACTATAGACTAGATATAGACTAGACTATAGACTAGACTATAGACTAGACTATAGACTAGACTATAGACTAGACTATAGACTAGACTATAGACTAGACTATAGACTAGACTATAGACTAGACTATAGACTAGACTATAGAACTAGACTATAGACTAGACTATAGACTAAGACTAGACTATAGACTTGTGAAATGATTTATGCTTGTCTATTTGCAAATATTTATGTTTTTTGTCTATTTGCAAATAGCTACGTACTATTTTTAAGAAATAGTTAAACATCAATCATACGCCTGGGATGAACTTTTAAATTTTTAAATTGTTTTCTATTTCATCATTTTGAAACTTTGCCTTAAAAGAGAGTAAAAATTAAAAATATTGCAAGTGAAGTTGCTTCAGTCACAAAACACTTAGAACTGGTATAAAGAATCGAAGTGTCGATTGTGCAATATTGAGAAATATGATGAGTCTATGACACGTATGGAATATTAAAATAGTACTTACTTATTATTGTATTTTCAATGTATAAGTCGCTTGTGAATTAGTCTATTGATTAATCTGTATACTGGTCTACTGAAGACCCTATAGTATTGAATAGTCTAATCTAATCATTTAAAAGTAATACTAAATATGTTTCAAAGTGTATGAAGTTCTTTAAAAATCATATAGTTTTAAAGCAGCTGATTCTTAAATTCTTTCTATTTACAAATACATATACATATATTTTGTTCACTCTCATTTTCCCCACGCAGTTTGAATATTTTATTTCACAACATTGTCATATTTTTCTTTGTATTCCTTCGAATGCAAACAGCGTTTGTTGATAATGATTATGATGATGGCGATGATCAATCCATTGTATTTATTTTCAAAATTGCGTCATAATTTAAGTCAACAGCAAATATAGACGTATGTGTATATAAATAAATGAATCAGTATGTGTGCATTGTATTGTATATAATAAAAAATAAATATGTATAAATATAAATAAAAAAAACAAAAAGACATAGACAACTAAATAAATACTTAATAAGAAGAACTAACAGATACATACTCACACAATGATTTATGATAATCAACACTTGTGAAGAGAAAATTAGGGTTGGGAAAACTAATTATTTTGAACAGTTTGCACACTTCCATATTTTAAAATCAAAGAACTAAAGAAAATACATGCAGTGAATACATGGGTAAACTTACAAAACAGTCATAAAACTTATCAGACCCTATCTCTTTGGACGTGGGTACAAAATTTCACTACTATTTTTCTGTTCACATGTATTCATTGACATTTACAAATACAAATGTATTGGCATTAGGAAAATAATGTCATTGTCTTTGATTATAAAGTAATTCTAATACTAAGTTTACAGTGCAATGGTAATTGTAATGACGGGTTAAAAAAACTATTTAAATTGAAGGTGTGGCCTTAATGCGTAAAAAACAATAAAACTACATACACACTAAGAGACGAAAAGACCTATAGACCTTTCAGTAGTGATTTAATTGTCATTATATCTTTCGATATCTCAACAATGTGCAAGATATCAATGTATCCATTTTCAGCAACAGTAGCTACAGTTGGAGATACTTTCCGAAAAGAAATTTCTCCATTTGGAATCACTTCGATTAAAGGAAGTTCACCAATAGAATTTAACCACCTTGTAGTATGAATATCACTTCGCGATAGTGTCACCGAAATGCAGGGCTAAAATAGTACCGACTATAACTACACTATACAACAAATTATTAACTTGCTTACTAACACATTGACATTATCGGCATACACACATATACACACTAAATTACTCTATAAAATTTTGCAATTTGCATAAATGAATTTAATTAAGCGAGACCATACCACAGCAAAACAGGCCTAAAATAGTACGTAATACAATGAAAGTAACAAACAAACAACAATTTAATGACACAACAGGTTTCCATGATTGATTTTAATTTATTGATTTGCTGCAGCAAAACAAAAGACATGGGTAGGGGTTCAGTTAAACGACGTTTAGTCATTGTAAAGGAATAAAAAATAAAACGTCACAGACTGCTGGATATCATCATCATACTAAATACTACGGTGTAGTAAACAGACAAAAATAATATCCATGAATTTCAAAATGAAACTCATTAAACCGTTTAGTAACTACGTCACAAAGCAGTCAGTTAATCAGACGTACAGGGTGAAGTAGTTCTTAGAATTTGGATTATATTGTCAATATTTAAACATGTTACACCGATAAAATGTCTAAACGAATTTGAGTCAAAACTCGAAACGTTCAGTTCTAGTTCAGTTCTATTTCAGTTCTATGTTCAGTTCGTTTAGTTCTAGTTCAGTTCTAGTTCAGTTCTAGTTCAGTTGTTCAGTTCAGTTCAGTTCTAGTTCAGTTCTAGTTCAGTTCTAGTTCAGTTCTAGTTCAGTTCTAGTTCAGTTCTAGTTCAGTTCTAGTTCAGTTCTAGTTCAGTTCTAGTTCAGTTCTAGTTCAGTTCTAGTTCAGTTCTAGTTCAGTTCTAGTTCAGTTCTAGTTCAGTTCTAGTTCAGTTCTATTTCAGTTCTAGTTTCTAG